ATATATTTCGCATGGAAAGTACTGGATTCAGATGAACCCATTAACAATGAGCTGCATCCGCCCCTGCATATGTGCCTCTTGCTCAAAGCATCGTGCACTAGTCTTATAGAAGTCTGGATAGCCAATCTTTGGGACGTCAAAAGTATTTTTTTTTTCTCCAAAACCATCCTAACTTTCTGTATTAGTCAAGAAAAAGTCAAAGTTCAGGAAAAAAAAAGGAGTATTCTTGTTGTTTATGCTTAGTTCTATGCACATTCAGGAAATCATTGAATAAAATTCACAAGCAATTCAGACAATCATATGCAGTTGATGTTTCACTTTCCTGCTTTTGTAACTTAGATGGACAGACAATGACCACTCACATACACAAACAACACCCCAACACCCGATCCCTCTTTTTCTCTCTGCAATTTTTTCCCCTTCTTTCGTCTTTTAGATTAACAAAGCCTTATCATTTGCTGTGATTTCACATGTGACGGGAATGGCCAAGAAAGAAGAAATAAACATATAAACATATATTGAATATATCACCCACCGAATGATTAAAATTCTTCCATTCATCATTAAAGTTTCGCATTTGATCTTTGAAAAACAAGACTTCTTGACAAAGTGCTTTACTCCCGAGCTTACACGGTGCGAATCAGAATTAGTAAGACTTGCGAGTCTCACAATGTAAAAAATATTTTATAATAAGTATGGTTTAGTAACACACAAATTATGATATGTAAAAGATATTAATAGCACCAAAAAAAGTTACACTGTTATTGTATATAATTTTTTTTTTTTTTGTTTGTAAATATATATAAAAAATCATCTGGTATTCATGCAAGCGCTAAGGAAGGATTAGGGTGAGATTTACACAGTCTACCCTAATGCAAGCATTAATGGTTGCTTTCATGGTTCGATCCTGTGACCTATAGGTAACACGAAGATAGCTTTACCGTCGCTTCGAGGCTCCCTTTCTCCCTTGTGTTTATAACTTGAAATCTTATCGTAAATATATCTTTACTGGACTGCCCTGCTCTTGTCTCAACTCTCAACCTAACCATTTTGCTGCAACTACTTCTCTGCCTCTGATATAGAGACTTAGAGGAACAATCATCAATAACCACACCATGCCTGTTACATTAGGAAGAAATCTTCATTTCTGCTTCACCAAATCCAAACGTCCAATACCATCACAATCCTCCAATATCCATGAAAATCAAGAACATCATAACATGCCATTTTTCAACTCCCTTAACGAATTTACACTCGAATGTGACATCGAAGAATCCACTATTCCTGATTTCTCCACTGTCTTCGCTTCTCAACGATTCTTTTTCTCTTCCCCTGGTAACTCCAACTCCATTACTGACTCCTCATTCATGTCTTCCTCCATACCATCAACTTCTTCGTCATTGCAAGCAGAGGTAGATTCAGAATTTGAACTGACGAGTCCAGCCTTTAAGGTTTAAACTCAAATCATCGTTTGTTATTTTCACACTTATATTTATTTTTCGTATTAAAAGTACAGAGTTCAATTGAACTTATTAAACAATGGCTGCATCCGTCTCTGATTGCAGGCTGAGCATCAGGGATCTGAAACACTTTTAGATGGCTGCACTGCTATTCCAACTTACTCTCCAAACCCTTATTTGGACTTCAGGAGATCCATGCAAGAAATAGTGGAGTCATTTAACTTGAGTGATACAAGCGCCAATTGGGACACATTGCATGAGCTTCTCATGTGTTATCTTGCCTTAAATCCAAAGAGCACACACAAATACATTGTTTGTGCATTTGCTGACCTCCTTGTCAGCCTCATGGCTTCCAAAGCGGCAAGTGGAGATTCAGAGGGAGTTTCAGGATTTAAATTAGATAAATTCACTCTTTGAATGTGGGTTTAAGTTTTAATATTTGTTACAATAATTTTAGTTATTTTTCACATATATATTAATGTTTCGCATAAAGAATATTAGAGTTAGTTGAAATACGACCAGAATTGTCTACGGAATCAAGAATATCTTTTGATCGTCCTCGCTCCAGAGACATAATTTAGTATTTCAATATTAAGTTCTATTTAATTGGTGAAAACTCTAAAGGATCAACGGATAATAGATAAGAAAGGACAACTTTTGAACCTGCTCCAAAGTCATTTGAGGATTCAATTTGTACAAGTAATTAAAATTTCACCAAGAATTGTTCTTAATTACAAGAAGCAACTTATTAATTGAGTGGCAGTGAGCATTTTAAACATAGATGTTGGCAGCTAATGAATATCATGTGCATCGTGGTTGGGATATTCATTTGGTCCATTCCCTTCCCAACCCCTCCCCAAACATCTCTTTGTTGTCTTTCATAGTACGAATCTGTCTCCTATCATCCTTTAGTACAGTGTCTTCTTGTTGGATTGCTTTTGGAAGTTTTGAGCAGGTAGAAGATAAAGCTTTGAATTCGTCATTTCTTAAGAGTGACTGTAACAGAGACTGGAAAGTATAATATTCCAATGTAAAATTGTGCAAGATTCGAGTACAATAGATGGTTTGTCAATCAAATGGCCACATTGCCGAAAAACCATCCGAGTATATTGACATTAACCGGAGTACTGGAAGTTCATCACAATGATGCACTGGTACTTCTTCACATTAAATACCCTCCTAAAACAAAGCTTATGAATGAAATTCTGTTTCACTCCAAAAATCTTTTTAAAAAGTAGCAGGTGTTAGATTGGAGCAGAAAAAATATATGTAAAAATGTTCACATATACTAATCGTTACTCTCCACTTTCTAAGTTATTAAGAAATCAATGGAAGTTGGTCATCCAGACAACTGTTTCTATTCGACAAGTTGGTTTCCTAATCATACTCCTTGTCCGAACATTTGATATGGTAATTAAAAAACAGAGAAAATGTTAAGAATAAAGCTATACTCCCAAATTCTCTAAGTTTAGAAAAACTAGTAGCACATAAACATGCAAAATGAATTTGCGTGACTCCACCAAAATTGAAAGGATTCGGAATAAATGTCCAGAGAAACATAAAAAAATACGGTAAACATTTTCTGCATTTGGTTTAAAGGAACTGTTCCTGGCAGATCATTTCTTCTTAGCATCTCCTGCCTTCGTCTGCAAAATTCATGCAACCAAGAACAAAATAAATGAGACGAAACCAATAAACCCTCTCTTTGTCGTAGACAAAAATAAAAACCATTACCTTCTTGACACCGCGTACTTTCTTGGCTCTATTCTTCCGCTCCTTCATCTGCTTCCTAGACTTCTCGACCTTTGTGTCTAACCCATTCTGCAAGTGTTCAATAGTCAAACAAGTTAGCCAAAAACATAAAACCCAATTTAATCATTAAGCCCGCTGATTTGACCGCTGAACATGCACTCAACATAATGGAGTATGAAAAATAAAGTATTTACTTAAAGATAAGAGTGTTATACTTAAAGATGGGTACTCAAATAAGCATCGTCAGCCACGAAACAAAAACAGCTCAACAAGATATACTTGCAATAAAGCAATAGTGAGAAATGCAACATAAACCAGAATCTATTGAATGAGCGAGGATAGGACTGAAGGAAGAGAATAGGTATAAAACCACACGTGACGTGACTTTATGGTCTAACTAGCCTTTTACACAACATAGCTCAAACTAATGCAGCCTTTTATAAAACATAGCTCAAAGTAAAGCAGCCCCACAGCTTTCAATCAATTTTTGATAGCAAAAGAGCAGAAGATAACATTATTGAGGATGTATAAGACAGTCAACTTCCGAAAAATGAAAAAAACTGCACATGCGGGTTTTGAATGTCAACTAGTAGATGTTGATAAACATTTCAAACAAAATCAGCACAAAGAACCAAGGGAAGATGGCATGGTGTAAACATTTCTCATATATCACATTTTACTTAAGTATGTTAGATTACAACATGAACTTTATCTGGGATTGGTATTATTGAGCTGACAGATAATATGCAATGATCCTTTACTACAAGATTCTCTAATAGATAGCTTATGCATTACAAAAAACAAGGAGCAATGAGATAAGCCAGACGCAAGACATCTTGCACTCATCCCAAATCTTAGCACAAAAAGACCTTCAGAAAGAAGATAAAGTGTTTCTATAATTTCCGTGCTTATACTCTTTTGGAGAACAAAACCGGCACGAAGTGCAATTGAATAACAATATCGAGGCATTTTTCACGCTAAGGCTCCATAGGGATGTTTCAAGAATGAATTCACAGAACAATTCAAAAGATTATAAGACATCAGGTGATATTAGATCCTTTCCAACTATCAAAGGGGTTTTAATAACACATAACCTTCTTGACTTAATGACTTCTATGAAAACATAAATAACTAATATGATAATTTCTTACCCTGATCAGCCTGTACTTTGGCTCGTATTTCTTTGCATTCTCAACAGAATCATAGATCAAGCCAAAACCAGTAGATTTGCCTCCTCCAAAGTGTGTCCGGAACTTAAACACAAAGATTGCATTTGGATCCTTCACCTCATACATCCTTGCTAATTTCTCTTTCAACTCGGCCTGCAATGACATTTTAAAGTTTAAACAGGTGGAACACAAGAAATTAAAATCAAAAGCATATGAAACTCGAATAAGCTATACATGCTTTGCTTTCTCTCTCTCCTATATCAGGACTACATCTCAATTGTGAACTAGTTGGATTCAAATATTCGGAATCCTCTGTATCCACTAAGAGATTATTGGACTATTTTCAAGCTGGCCGTTAACCTACCTCAAACTTCCTCATTTACCCTAGCTTGTAACAAGCTATGTTCTGCAATCCACACATAAGTGGAGTTCTCTCCCTCAACGACAACTAAGATAATAGCAACTAGCATCAATTCCAGACTTGTTGAGTCGGCCTCGGCTATATTAATCTTTACAATCGATTCCGGTACTAAATTATGAATGTTTTAGAAATAGAAAAACTTGAAAAAGGTACATATTTTGCCTTCTTTTTCTATTTCTAATATTATGACTATCGTTAACTTTTTCTAACATTTCCAATACCATCTAATTCATTAGGGACCTCTCAGTAGAATCAAAGAGAAAAGAATGGATCTTGTAGTAGAAGTCGTATTAATAACTAAATTGCTGAAATTGCAAAACGCACTCAACAAAACAAAAGGAAACAAGGCGGACGCAATAGATTGTCTAACCTTAGAAACATTGGCTCTTCCAGGATGCAAGACATCGATAATCTGAATTAAACATGCCAATTAGAACAGATTAAAACATACTAGTAACATGTATGAGGTTTAAGATATGTAGTACAGCTTGTTCTTAGTACTAACAACATAGATAATATAAGTCTTAAAAGACTTACGAATTGTTTCCTTGCAAGAAGACGATTGGTCATGAACTTCCTTGTTCTAATTGTCACTGCTTTGTCCGCCATTTTTCTGTTAAAACGATTTACCTTAAAAATTCAGCTAAATTTTACTTGCATTTGCATCTACATATGCGCATTCATGATTCAGCTAAATAAAATGAAGAGATAAAAATTGGATAGAAATTATACTTGTATGCCTCTGCAAGATACTCCGGCGCCCCTGTTCTGAATGCTGCCTCACAGACCTTTCTCTAGTTAGCAGAAATGGAGGCTTTTGTCCTAGGGTTTTAAGTTTTTAGAAGCTTCATGATACTATTGGGCCAATCAACGACCGGCCGGCTCATTGTTAATTAATCCATCATCAAAGTGGGCCGTTGTGGTTTACGCTGGATGACTTTTTTAAAGGACTTTTTCACTTTTGGCCCGCGACATAAACTATTTATATTTCGTAGTCGAAAATATATATAAAATTTGTATATTTGTTTATCTAATATAGAGAATAAATAATATTCAGCTATTATTTTGAGAACGACTATACAGTGTAATTTTCCCTTTTCTTAAACCACTACTTAAATTTTGACCCTAGTAAGAAAAATTTTGGAAAAATAACCCTGCGTCAAACTAGGGATTTTTACTTAGCTATACTATAATAGAAACCTATTTACTACTTTTATTTAGGTTCCTTATTAATTACTTTATATACCTATATTTACTAGTTTTATACAAAACCTTGAAAAAAAAAAAAAAAGGAAATGAGATATACCTTAAATAGTGGGTATCAGTTACACAAAATATCCTACATTTAAGATACCCAAAATCAATACTTACCCAAAATTCTTTCACCGTAAGAAACCTACCCCAAAACCACCACCTCTTTTTGCAATTACCAAATCCCTTCACCGTAAGAGACCCACCCAAAAATCATTACCTCTGTTTGCAATTACCAAATCCCTTCACCGTAAGAGATCAAAGCCTGGCCTTTCTGCCCCAAGGCAAGCATTCCAACCAAGCCAAGCAGCTATAGATCTTGAGCGTCTTGCAAGGGCATCTGCTTGTCTATTTTTTTACACCCAAAAATCATTACCTCTGTTTGCAATTACCAAATCCCTTCACTGTAAGAGACCCACCCCAAAATCGTGCTCTTGCAAACAATTGAGAATATAACTTGGAGTTTATATCTCAATTTTGAGGGAGATTGGTTAAGTTTAGAGTTGTTTTTAGGTAAAATTTCATATTGAAACTCGAAGAAGAAAAGTTTCTGAATTGTATCACGATTGTATTATAATTGTATCATATTTGTTTCATAATTGTATCACAATTGTATCAAACTTGTATTTAATTTGTATCTGATATATCAATACCTAAAATAATACCTAATACAATTATAATACAATATTATTTCAGAATTTAAGTTTAGAATTGTGATTGAAACTTGAAGAAGACGAGGAAGAACAAAATTGTATCACGATTGTATCATAATTGTATTTGTATTCTAATTGTTGCAGAAATTGTATCACGAATGTATGATAATTGTATATGGCGATGAGTAATTGTAAGTTATGGGCTATTATCCTATTAGTAATAATTT